TAACATGGTTAAGTAAATCCAACATTTCATTTTTTACATATTATATTATATTACCTAACAACATTTGGGAAAACTAATACCACCACTTTCCTGAAGTCACATGTACTACGACTTAAGAATTCTGCAACTGTTTGCTTAAACTTGAAGTCTAGATGGAGTCCAGATAGTTTGAAAAAAAGTAATTATGAAAATCCTTATTTTTAGTTTATAAACTGTGTTCAGTTTTGCAATCTGCACTTGTGGTTTTATAAACCATGCACATGTTTCTGTAAACTGTGGGCTCTGCTTAATAAACTACATGCACTTGTTTTAATTTCAACAACATGCATTTAAAGACAAATGTTTTGTTTTTGTGGGGGKTTTTTTYCAGTAAAGTTGTTTCTGTATAAAACAGATTTGTGCTTCCAGGTATGATCAAGCATCGCCAAGTCACAAAYTTTATGTTTTACAACCAAATAAGATCAGCCTCTGTCTCTGTCCCACACTGCTGCGTGTAGACTTTCATCAGGCAGAAACTTTCAATTAAATCTATTTTGATGAGCTGCAAGGCTTTTATTAAATTCATGTTTTTTTATCATTTTATAGCAGCATTTGCTTGCTTTTCCTTTTTCTCTGCAATAATATTATCAGTCTTATATCCTGGCTTACAGCAACAAGGGAAAACGTGCGAGCAATCGTGTGAGATGTTATTTTCCGAATATTCATCCTAATGCTGCTTAGTCAGCAATATACAGACGCCAGCAAATTACTTTCTGCTTCAGAGATAATGATGCCGTTGGACAAAATGTAACGCCGACAAACAAATTGAGTGGAGGCGACGCAGCAGAAGAAAGTGTCCATTCGACATGGAGCTGTGACATTTCATTAATATCGTTTGACGCTCTCGCCTTATGCAGCGTTAGGGTTATTCATCTGCTACCTCCGATAAATGTGAGTTTTGTTCTGTTCAATCTGTTCAAATGCCTGCTTGTTTGATTTTAGAAACATTATCAAACCCATCAGGACGCACAGTTGCTGTACATCCTCAGCTGACCAAATCTCTGTGAGCATTGGTGCGTACAGAAAAATCTTCCAGTTTAAGAAGCAATTAGGCTCTGATCAGAGGAGGAGGCAGAGAGTTCACCATGTTTTCAAAGCAAAAATGTCATATTGTGAATTTCTTCAAATGATCTTGCTCTTTTTTGTTATTTCAATCCACACCCTCTGTCTCGCTTTAAACCTGATGCCTTTGCAGGAGCAGTCACATTTTTCATCTCAATTTAAAACCTCGTTTGTTTTGTTTATCTTGGCAAGAATGAATGAATGAAAGAAAGTATTATTTTTGGCAAGAAACACTGAAAGCAAGCTTAATATGTGAGGCGTATAAATAACCAAGATGTTCACCTTTCATCACCAGCCCAGGTAAATAAAATATAAACACCTGGAGAGATCAAGAAAATGATTTTCTTTAAGCAGCATAAATGKATTAGTTTAAACCATTAGCAGTAAAAAAGTAGAAATATGGCAGCATTACTGAAAAGAAAAGAGTCTAATGAAAATTATTACACAAATAGAGCCAAACAAATGAAAGAAGTCAATATTTGTTTGTGGTGTATTTACATCTCTGTGTGAAATTTATTCCTTTACACTTCAATTTGATCAATTACAAAGGAGCTGTCAGTGACTTTTAGTTCATTCAATTTGAAAATAACAACACAACAGCAAACTGTTGCACAATTTTTTTTAAAAAAAATTGGTTCCACTTTACAAAAAGGCTCCCCTTATGGATGGCTTGTAAATAGGTTATAGATAGGTTATTAATTCATTTGTAACCACTTTATAAATCATTAATAAGTGTTTATTATGCATTAATTAAGAATAAGAAAGTGACAAAACTGTCTGGTTTCTTGCCAAACAGTGAGCCAAATCTGTTCATGTACATATTATAAAGTGTTATATTAAACATTTCACACTAGGTTAACTTGTAAGCACAACAATGTATTGGAAACACATATTTACAGTAGGTACACTGTTTATTAATGATTAATAAATGTGTATAAAGGTCATAATGGAGCCTTATAAATTGTGTACAGTCTTACATTTTACAATAAGGCTCCCTTTAACAGTTATGTATATGTATAATACAGTGCAATATTATATGTAAAATATGTGTTTCCAATACATTATTGTGTTTACAAGGTAATAACCTAGTATGAAATGTTTAATGTAGCAATTTAGATGTAATATGTACATGAACAGATTTGGCTCACTACTTGACCAAAAACCAAACAGTTTTGTCTATTTCTCGTCCTTAATTAATGCTTAATAAACACTTAATAATTATGTATGAAGAGGTGGAGGAGGCCTCCGTTTTCAGTTGTCCCACTCCTACAG